TTTTAAAGAAATAATTTTTAAAAATAAATAATTTTAAATAATTATAAAAACAGTATTATATTGTTTCTCTTAATTACAATTTTTTTTTTATCTAAAAAATAAATCTATACTTTGGTAAATATTATATAGCTCGAGTTATTTCATTTTGAATATTATTATTGTTATAAAATTTATTTAATAATATATATGGCAGTTATAATTTAGGAGAATTAGCAACTAGATAGGGCCGTAGTCACGGGGGAGCCCAGCCCCCAAACCTGCCCTCCAGAAAAAATCTTTGGCCCCCAAAATGGCCCCCATAAATTTTTCCGGCCATCAAATTTAAAAAAATTTTTGTAATTGATTATTTTTATATTTTTAAAATAAATTTTAAATATTTATTCAAAAAACATGTCTTATTTGTAAATTTCTTACTATCCTGTTTTATTTTTATCCAATAATAAATCATCATTCATTTATATTTTATCATTTTCATGTGTGTTTTGTATATAACATTATATAGCCGCTTAATTATAATGTTTAAATTGTACTTATTTCGATGATAATTATTTTATATATTATGGTTCAATCACAACATTACTATCTTTTGAAGTTCTCTGATATAGATCTGGGTGCAAATCATAAAAAACGGGGATTTTCTGAAGCTAATCAAGTGGTTACTCAAGACTTGATATATATATATATATCAAATCTAAGGAAACAGATTGATACCGATTCGTAAATATTTATAAAAAATAAAAAAAAATTCTTATTAAATTTTTATAAAATTTGGTAATTATTGTGCAGTTTTGCTAAACAGCTCGATTTGGGCCAATTTTTAAAATTGGTCAGATTAAGATCTTAGACAAAATAATATTATCTAAGCCCGATATAACCAGTTATTTAAAACAGCGGTGAATATTTTAGCATTATAAATAAAATAGTGAGATAACACCAATTTTGGTAAGCCAACAAACTAACCGTATTCTTTACGATCTTAAATCAAGATTTCATGATATTTCTTAATATACAGGAGCTACCTTTCCGTGGGAACTGGTTCAAGAAAAATTACGGATGCTGCAAATGTAGAAATCATAATTTATTCTTTCTGGGACTATTCATAGCAATGTTTTTATACACTATCCAAAAAGATCCTGAGTTAAATAAAAATACGTGATATACATCACCCAGATTCAAAACGAAGTAATATCTATTATGGTAGATATGGTGTTTGAATTATTTCAGATAAATATAACAAAAGTGAGATACCTTTTTTTGTCTTAAGGCTGATGTGACAAAAGAGGCATTAGGTTGTGAAAACCTGAGCATAATTATTTATATTTTTTCTGAAGAAGTCCAAGAAAATTTAATAAGGATTATTAATTTACAGTGACTTTCTGCTGAAACCATTACTAATTGCATTTTAAAGCAACTTAATGAGTTAAATATTAATTCAACGAATATTAAACCAAGCATATGATGGTGCAAACGTTATGTCTGGCCGAAATGAAGGAGTGCAAACCCTACTTCAAAAAAAAGTTCCTTTTCTACATTTCTACAACCACATGTTACATATTGTGGCTCAAAATTGATATAATAATATTGTTATGATTTCTAATTTTTTAAATTTATTCAATGCATTGCATAATATTTTAGGCGGTTTAACGCATCCTGTAAATATGCAGGCCATACTAAGAAACTTTTAGACCAGAGGTGGACTGGTCATTTAGAAACATCTCGCATCATTTATATTAATTTTGAGGCTATTGGTGAAGTATTAGTTTACTTTTCTAATGAAACTCTTAATTCAGAGGTTTCCACTCATAATTCTGTCGAAGTCTCTGATATTTTATCTCAATACGTTAATATAAATTACGTTATATTAGCCATTATAATTTATTATATTAAAAACAATATATCCACTATATAAGTTTCTACAGTCAGTAGATACTTATCAAGTGGATGCTAAAAATTGTAATGATTTAACGATCAATATATTTAAAAAAATATAAGTAGCAATAATTCTATTGATTTGATTAGAATAAAGGCTGAAAAACTTTTAGTAAAATTTAATCTCACTCCCCACAAATCATCAAGCGTAGGTAAAAAGCCTATAAATTTCCATGATTTTTTAGTCGAAACCAAATTACAATTTGATTGCGAAAAAGACTCAAATAAGAGTTCTTTAAAATGGAATTATTATGAAATTATTGATTACTATGTTCATAATTTTTTAGATAGATTTACACAAGATGATTATAATCTTCTATCAAGTTTTAATGCATTGTCCCCCTTTGATAGTGATTATTATATATCGGACAAAATGGCCCGATTATAATAATTATCAAACTTAATTATGAAAAACTTTACATCATGAAATGAAAATAGCAAAAGGAATTAGCTGCAGAACAGGGGCGTCGCTAGCCTTTACAATCTCAGGGGGCTCAACTAAAAAATGGGGGGCTTGGCCCCCCATACCCCCGGTTATATTTTAATATATTTTTAAAAATTACTAAACTCTTGAAGGATTATTCTTATTTTCATATTTTGTTTTTTATTATATTATACGTACAAAATAAACTAGAATATAAATAATTAAGACTAGAATATTGATCATTAAGACTAGAATATAAATATCATTAAGACTAGAATATAAATATCATTAAGACTAGAATATAAATAATTAAAACTAGAATATAAATAATTAAAACAATACATTTCTACAAATTTTTCAATACAAAATCGATTTATTACAGTATAAAATTTTAAATTGCTGATATAAAAAATTTCGCGTCTAAAGAATTACAAGTGATAAAACCGATTAATTAATTCATACATATGCCTCAATTGTTAATGTTTTTAAAAACCCCATAAGGCAATATAATTCTAAGCAACTAACATTAACAAAAGGTCATGAAACTAATATAACTCTCTCTTACCATTTTAGACAAAGTTTTATAGAATGGACTAATAAGGAAAAATTTATAGGCCTAACCAAATCAACAATTCTTGAAGATGAGAATATAAACGACCAATCCAAATCATAAAACTATATGGTGGTTAGAGCTTCCTCTTAGATGACATGATGGAAGCTAGATAAGTAATCGAGAAAATTATTGTGAGATATTAAATTTCTAAAAGATTATCTTCCATTTTTAATCCTATATAAACTACTGGACAGTTGATCATTGTTGCTCATCTTAATTATGCAATCATATGCTCTCAGCAGCTGTAGTAATAATCTTAAATTACATAGCCACACAAATAATAGATGCTGGTTAATTTGCAGTCATAGCCATGACATACACGATGTTAACTCATATCAAAATCTAGTATGTTAGATAGATAAAGCAAAAACACCTAAAATCTTGGAAGAAATTATGTTTGAAAGAAATTATGCAAATATATTGAAGCCTTGAGTTATTTACAATTTAAATGTGCCAAATTAGAAATAAATAATTTGGGAGCTAGAAAATAAGTACCTTAGTGATATGATGAAAGCAATTAAGATCTTATATATTATTGTATTGTCAATGTATTCAAATATTTTTAATTAAATTTTTCAGAAACTTTGGTCATATCAAAAGAAAGCATTTACTGTTTTTTTCTGATTTTTTCCTATCTCAAAAAGAATTTTTTTATAAGCACCATGTCTTTTAGCTAATTTTGGATATGAAAAAAAATTTTATAAAATAAATATTAAACGATATATTTACTCGCAGATACTAACGCCTAAAATTGCGTTTCAAAAATTATAAGGTTAAATTATTTATAAAATAAATTCTCTACACCGGCTAGTCATTATTGCATATTCATCTATAATGTGATCTATAGGAATGGTATTAATAATATTTTTTCTATGCTCAATAGAGCCAACGAATTTAATCGTTCCTGACCCATTGTCGATCGAAGATATGTTTTCACCCGTTTTAATGCTGAAAACGATCTTTCACATGAGCAGGAATTAAAAGGTATAGTTAACGCAATTTTAAGGCAATTAAATATAGGAGGGAATATATCTATGTGTAAGATTTTTATCAAATCTATTATTGATTTACACGTAGATTCGTGTTTTTTATTATAGGTTAAAATATAAGCCTTTAATATTATGTATTCTTCCATTGGATCAGGAAGATTATAATGTAAGACTTACATTATTTACAATCATGTCATTCACAATACTTTCTTCATTATTCAATGAATCTAAATAAGATTAATTTTAAAATGTATTTCTTTTCAGTGTATTTATTTTTGTAAATATAATATATAAAAAGTAATATTCCATATAATAGTGTCCATTTTTCAAAAATATATATAAATAAGCAAACTATTCTAAATTTATTTAGCATTTTTATTAAAATATAGTTTATTATTAAGTTAGGATAAACAAATAAATATATAATTATTAAATTATGAAAGAATGATTGAGTAAACAATTTAGCCAATATTATCTTTATTAATGTAAAAAGAATAATAGTGTATGATTTTTTAATAGAAAATATTTACTATGTTTTATTTAGCTAATATTTTGACATCACCTTATGTGATTATAATAGAAAAATTTTAAAAAAATTTTCCATTTCTAGTATCCTGCTCCTGAAAGGTGAAAATATATTGTAAAGCAATTTTTGTAACTTGAAAACTAAAGAAATCAATATTGTTTAATACTCTGGTGAAAAATGACTTAAATAGATATTCTACATAGGCAAATTTGGGAGGAAATAGGAAAAACATATAACTTCAATTATGATCAAGTGAAAAAGAAACCTTCCATTAAAATAGATAATTAACTAATAAATTTTTTTTTTTTAAACTTAAATGTCCAAAGTGTTTTGTTATTAATTTGTGAAAATTTTAAGGATTTTTTCAAAACATTTTGGACACAGACTTATATATAAATTTATTTACCTATTTTCTTTCTTTTAACATTTTTGTTTTCAATATTTATATCTTTTAAAACTACAATTAATCGTCTTTCAACTAAATCTAAGTTTGAATTTTAAAAACTGTATAAAATACACTTTGTTCATCACCAGCTTTATTATTGAATCCTCTTATTTGGTCCTCAAGATTATTGCTACTTTTATCTTTAGTTTTTTTCATAAAGTCTTTAATGCTTAAATTTTTAAATCGCAAAGTTATTTTATTTAAATAGTGATTTTAAACTAGGCTTACAATATTAAATTTGTTAATTTTCAATTAATAAATCTTTATATTTATTTAATTAGGGTTATATAATAATTTAATTAATAAAAATCAATTAAACTTCAACTGTTAATGTTAATGCTAAATTGATATTTAAACATTATGCATGGTATTGATATTTTATTTTTAACAAAGAATTTGATTGCGAGCTGATATAGTGAAAATATAATTTATATGTATTAATCTAATCTAATAAAATTTAGATAGTCTTATTAATTTTTAAATAATAAAATTAAATCTATATATTACTTAATAGAATTATAATAAACAGGGGACAATCAAAAAAAGTTCTTTTTAGTTTAAGGGGATATTAAGGAACCATTAAAAAAAAATTTTTTTTTGCTTCAGGGGGCTATTCAAATTTTTTAGGGGGCTTGAGCCCCTGCGCCCCCTCCCCTAGTGACGCCACTGATATTAAGGAACCATTAAAAAAAAAATTTTTTTGCTTCAGGGGGCTATTCAAATTTTTCAGGGGGCTTGAGCTCCTGCACGCCCCCCCCCCCCTAGTGACGCCACTGATGAAGAGGGGTGCCACCCTTACGCACCTATGCACATATATATTATTCAGCTTTTCAATGTGCAAGCATTTTATTATATATTATATTTAATGTAAAGTAGTTGCTTTAGTATGAGTTATTTTTATGTTTTTTATTCCTGTGATATTTCTACACTGGTTCCCCGGTTTTATTTCTTATAGGAATCAATTTTTAAACTTTTTATATTCATATATTAATAATATGGAATACGTCGAATGTCATTCATTATTTTGTGCTAAGTGTATATTTTATGAACTCCCACGAAATTTAAATTTTGACAAAGTAAAAAAGGCACAACTCACATTTCATTTATATATTTTAGTATGCCCAATGAAGATCTTTTTACCTTTAGTGGGAGCATAATGGGGGGTCTTGCAGGACCTGAAATTGTTTTGGAAAAAGAACTTGCTGTCGTATGTGGGCCAACAAATAATATCATAACCGATGATGTAAATATAGCGATAAGTCATGCAATAGCCGATATTTTTCACAATAATTTGGGAACATCCAAGGAACAGGAAAGAAAGATTTTGATTGGATCAGCTGTTGTCTGCTTTAGAGCTGGGCTTATATGCACAAAAAGAAATGGTACCAGGATTTTATCAGATGGGAACTGGCGAAAGATTCCATACTCAATGTATGGCTCTACAATTTTAACTGTTGAGCAACAGATAGAAGTTAGTAATGCAACATTAAAATCTAATTTGCTCTTATGTGCAACATTGATTGCTGCTACAAAAATAAATTGGTACAAGCAAAACAGCCACATTGGCCAGGTGTCATCATATTCAAACTATATGAAAAGGGTGGTATTGCAGAAATTTGATTTAGCAACCAGTTACATACTTATTAGGGTTATCAAAAGAGTTGGTTCTTGGGCTTCTACAAGGGCAGTACTCACACAATTTGGCCTAGCTAATGTGTGCCAACCAACACCAGTAATTGCAGTAAATATAGATCATAGTTTATGGATGGATGCCGATGTCAAAGGTATCAACAGTAACCCAGCTGGCACTGCTCGACACTTTATCGCCTTACAAATTGTGAAGCACATGCTCAATTCCATTACTATAGCTCTGTGTCCAGATATATCTGACTTCTCCTATTTGCCCTACATCTGTTCAATCATAAATAAAAATCCAGCAGTGTATCACATTGATGCTGAATACTTGTGTGAGGGGACTAAAGCCCTTGCTGAGAAGATTGAATTCTCTGATATGCAAGCAGCCACCTACCTTGGCAGAGTAGGTACTTATTGGAATGCATTTATGAGAAATGGGACATTGCAGTCTCCTCACCTTTCTTCTAGAAATTATCATGATGCAGAAGATTTTTGTATAGATTATGAAATAGCATTAAAGAGATTTAAAATAACTGGAGCAACTGCTACACTTCCAACTGTCAATATTGGAAGATTGCAGCCACAATTAGATGCTTACAAATCATTAGCTAAAGCTTTTGGAGTAACCCCAAATCCTGAAGTTATAGTGGCAATGTCTCAGCTCTAATAACTAATATTTGAGGTAACCTTTTTAAATTTAAAAATGTGATAAATTAAAATTTTATGTATAAATGTTAGATAATAAATATCACTATAAGAGGTGATATTTATTTTGAAACAACATATTATATTTACCTTTTATATCTTAAACACATAAATATAAATCAATTATTAAATTATAATCATATATAAATATTCATGTTATATAGAATTTTAAATTTTATTATACAAAATCATTCATGTTATATAGAAATTTAAATAGTCTTCATTATATAAAACTAATAAAAAAAATTATCAATTGTTACAATAATTATATAAAATTTTTATGCTATGTAGAAATTTTAATAATAAATTTTCATTATATAAAGATATATATTTGATATAATGTTTAATAAATCCTTGCAATAATAAATTAAATTAGTTTAATTTATAAATTCTTTTATATTATATTTACCTTAGAAGAATATACATTGTATTACTTATTAAATCAATCATTAAATTATACTACTTAGAAAATAAATCAATTATTAAATTATAATTATATTTAATATGTTATATAGAAATTTAAATTTTATAATATTAAATTTTCATGTTAAAGTAATTTAAATACTAAGTTTATATTATATAAAGATATATTTGATATATGTTACTAAATCCTTGCAATAATAAAATAGTTTAATTAATAAATTTTTTATAACTATTTACATTCATTATATATGCATTCTATTTTTAATAAAAAAAACAATTATTAAATAATTATTTCTGGCCAAATAGATGGTCCACTCACTGCTCCATGGTCCAAACTAATTTTTAAAAATAATTGATTAGCTACCGGCAGATAGATATTTGAAATCAATAGATACTATTTATTTTTATTGTATCGGATCATGTAAAGATACTTGTCCATATAAATTAATTAATTTTTTTTCGAAACTTCTTTGTTCTCTATTTCCTCATTTGAATCTAATATGTCAAATTTTACACTTGCTAAATTGAGCGTATATAAATTTGAGGAAATTTTTATGTATCCTAAGCCATGGTTGAAGTATATTCTTATTGCTTTAGCACCAATATGTTCTTAATTACTTCAATTTCATCCATGAAAAGAAATGATAAGCTTTAGGAATGGAAAATCCTATGAGGCTGGGAAATAGGGATTTCGGAATTTCTATCTGCAGTATATGTCGAAGTATTATTTTTAGAACTATATTTTCACAAAAACTTATGATAAAAAATTTTTTTTTTAATATATATGTATATATATAATCTGCATTATAAAATAAGACCTACATCGTTAGATAAAAAGACGACCGACAAAAATTATTGAAGAATAAGAAAGGTTTACAAAATTCCTCACTTTTCTTTCTAAAGGTTAGTTCACGAAACGTATAATGTCGAGTCCTCTAAACAATCTGAATGTTACGTATGCGTCTTCAGTTAGCCTTTATTTAGCGTATCTTGAAAAATATAATATAATTTTTATCCTTTAGTAATGAATTCATTTGCATCGATTAAGATGTTCGATGAATTGCGTTTTTGCAAAATTATTTCCAATTTAAAGATAGAACATGCTGAAATACCCAGCTATTTTTGTAAGTTGCCAAACTTTTGTTAGCTTAGAAAACAGGTTCTCAAATCTTATTTTTCAATCGTTTCAAAATTAATAATAGTGTTATTAAACGCCAACTAGCGGGTTTTTTATTATTAAATGTTGGATTTGTATAATTTAATATTTGGTCGCTTTTATAATTTTAAAAGCAATATGGCTACATTTCGCCTAATATTAAATAAATATGACATCGTAAATAAATGATTAAGTAAGGTATTACTATGGTAGTACTTTTTGGTGACATTCTAAAATCTGATATATAAAGATTTATGTAATTTAAATTTTCATATTGCTTTATAGCATCTCGTAAATCTTTTATAGAATTCTTTAATTCCCATTACATTTAACATATCATCAATAATAACGTGTTGAGGTATATCATACGTTTTAAAACAAAACATTATTTTTATGAAAAATATTTTTTTATATTTGTATATATATACTCTTTTATTTTTTTTATATATATATTTATTTTTTTTACCTTTTTATAAATTTGTAAATTTGGATAAAATTTTGACTATCGAAAAGAAAAGTCAAAAAAATTTTATTTTTCCTTTAACATCTCCCATATCGAACGACGAATTTGATAAGTATTTCGTTTACTTTTTATTTTTAACATAAGAATTCAAGGTAAGGATTTTTCCTCACCCGGGGCACCATGTAAATTGTAAAATTAAAAATTGTAAAACTTATTTTAACTATTTTATTATTCTTTCTTTTCATCCACAAAATTATATATATATATATTTTAAAAGTTAATTGAACAACTTAAATATAAAAATAAATAATATTCAAATTTAAATCAATCAACATATAAAATAAATAATATTTAAATTTAAATCAATCAACATTCCCCCTCTTCTACAAACAACGAAGCTTCTTCTCAGCAGTCATCGAGAGCTTGTTGTCCTAGAAGTTTTTCCTGTTTCGATTGTACTCGGTTTAATCTTGGTTAGCGCATAAGAATGTTCTCGTAGGCTTGATTCTATCACGTAGGTTTGATAAAATCGTTTATTAGAGTTGCGTGAGTTTGTACGTTTATTGTAGACTTGAATCAATTGCGTAGGTTTGATAAAATCGTTGAACGTTATCGTTGGTTTGATATCCTTATCGTATGTTGTTCACATTTCTCAAAATTGTTATTATCATTAATCCAGTTGAATATTGGAATTTGGAATAAATCGGAATATATAATTTGGAATGCACGAATAAAATTTTGAATTTCGGAACAATATGTAATAAGGAAGGATAA